TGGCCCCAACTGCCTCCAGTGTTATGCAAACCCACCCGAAGGTGAGGGCTAGAGTTAAGGTGCCCCTACCTGCCTTTCACCAGGGTGATAACTTGCCTGGCATTTCCTGGGGGCTCCCACACCACTGAGAGCCCCACCAAGCCACCCACTCCTGGCAGGGTGCAGTTTTATGTCATGCCCAGAACCAGGAGCCTCCTAATCATCCCCTACAGCTCCTGCCCTTACCTCCAGGATGACACAAGCAGCCTTGCAGCCAGGCAATGTTGATGTCTCCTCTGCCAGCAGTGAACTGCCCTGTTTATATGGGTGGCCAGAGATCTAAAATGGCCACCCCAATCAGGCACTTGCCAGTTGCTTGGCTTAGGTCTTAAAGTGGCAGGCACTAACCGTGCCCTGCCACACACCTCCCCCCGAAAATGGTAACCGGGAGAGGTTTCCCTTGCTGCTCCTCCAAAGCAGGTTCTCCTCGGAGCCTGTGAGAACTCTCAAGCAGCGAGCATCCCTAAAGGTGTGCCGCCACCCACCTCCCCCCTTGGAATGAGATCTGCAGGGGCTTCACTTGGCCGCTTTCCCTGCTGGGCTCTGCCCCAGCCTACAGCAGCCCCTGTCATGTGGCAAGCACCCCAAAGGTGCTCCATCACAACAACTTTTATAAAAAAAACTGTAACAGGCCATCTACTACCCTGACACCTGGTGCCTGCTTGGGTCCGAGCTGTCTGCCCACCCTCTCTGGTCCCACCTCACTGCTAGTCTCTCACCTGCCACACCTTTGATGTTATGGTTCATCTATTGAGGAGGCAGTCCCTGGGCAGGGGAGTAGCACCTCTGATTCTCTTAGCTGCTGGTTCTGTCCTGACCACACTCATGCACTGGGGTCTTCATTTTCCTTGGGGTGTTTCCTCTTAAAGGGAGCAACCCTTCAGGCTTCCAAGCACTTGTCAGGGCTTCAGCTGTCCTGGGCTTGGCCTCCTTTTTTTCTTGCTGAGCCCTTTGCTCTGGTTCACTTGGACCTCAGGTCCTGGGCCTTAGCCCTGACTTGGCTGAATCCCCTCCTGGGCTCCTGTTGCTCTCTTCAGCAGCAGCCCTCTCAGGCTAAGGTTAGTCTCCAATCACTGATAGTGGGCACTCCACCCATGGTCTGCTCCTCCCCTCTAGCCACACTCCAGTCCTCCAGTAGAAAAACTCAAAACACAAAACAGTGACCTAACCAGTCCTAACTGAAACATAAACCCCTCTCAGACTTGTATGCTCAAGACCAGCTTCTCAGGCTGGCTGGCTTGCCCAACTCCAATCCACCAGGTACCTCTCTTGGGCTGGCTTGGTTTTTCAGTGCAGCCAGTGCTCTCCTAGGAGTTTCAGGCCCTACAGCAACCAGGGCCAGACTGCCCCTTACATGATCGGGGACTGAGATTCAAGTCCAGCCTCCTTCCAGTCATGTGACTTGGCCTCAAGTACCCAGGGGCCATGTGCTGCTAACTCATCGTTATTAACAACCTGGATGTATCTAGTTCCTGGCTAAATTTATCTGTGCAGCTACTACCTGCTGCCATTCCCCCCCCCAGATTTCCTGCTTTTTCCTACCTTCCCAGTATGTAATAGGGGCAGGGGTTCTCTGTTACATAAACTAATAAAGGCAGCATTTTCAGAAAAGATGTGCTGGTTATTCAAGATTGGCAGTAGTTCAGGAAGAGATGAAAAAGTAGCAAGTGACCAGGAACAGGGGCTTACCGGTCACACTGCTGACTAGAGGAGTTCTGGCAGATGGTAAAACCATGCTGTAGCAATTCTTACAGTACGTACCAGAAAACATTTATAGCAAAATGATACTATGGTGAAAGAATTCAGATAAAGAACCTGAGAAAAGAACAAACAAGCTTAAGGCAGAGATAGATCATGCACTGAACAAGTATTCGTGTTGTGAAGAATCTTTGAATGTGTTGGAGTACAAAATGTCAATCATCATTAACTGCATTGATCTTGAAAAAGCCTTTGATAGTCTTGACAGAGAAAGCTTAAGAAAGGTAATGGCTAGATACAGAACATCACAAGAGACAGAGTAATAACAAACCTTTATGAAGACAGTGAATGCTATATAAAAGTTACCTAAAAAACTACACAGTAGTTTAAGATGCTGTCAATCAAGGATGTATGCTATTGCCTTATTTTCAAACTACCTATTTCCTGACTCCATGGGACAGGGACTGGAAGGCAAAAGCTACGGAATTCCTTGGACTGATAAGTGGAAACTTGAATGGCATACAGGCAGAAATGAACAAAAACACTAATGGAGCTGATGTAGGAGTCAAAATAGAATTAAGGCAAAATCCAAATTTTTCCCTCAAGTATTTCCAGTTCAACCTAATTTTTAGTCACTGCAACACCTAAAGGTTTGGTGCCTGCCCCCACAAAGGATACAAAGAAATAGGAATAGGCACCCCAGGTTTCCATACAGTCAAGAAAAAAAATTACACACCTACAAATCATAGAGTCATAAAAATCTAGGGATGGAAGAATGCTTGGCCATCTAGTCCAACCCCCTTACTCAAGTTAGGATCAGCAGGTGGCTGGTTTAAATTCCCAAATGTGGCAGTCAAGCTGATCCTGAGAGAAGGGGCAAGGTTCTTTAACCAAGAACCTCTGGGGTTTAGTCCCAGCAGGAGTACTGGCATAGCCCCCAAAAAATCCTTAGCTTTGGCTGTAGCCAGAACCTAATGCTTTAGAGGAAGATGAAGGGAAAAAAAAAACTGGTCACCTGCAGCAATAGAAGAAAAAAATCCTCCTGGCCTAACAAAGCACCAAAGCAGAAAGCCCCTTCTTTTTTTGTAATTAAGCCAGTTGTGCCACTCCACTTCATTCTCATGCTGCTAAGCATTGCCCTTTCCAATATCAAACAGTTCTGAGCTGCAGAGCTCTTTTCATGATCTCCCAGAGATGTTGGGTGGGGTAGCCTTCCTGGGCTTCCCACTGTTGCTCTTTACCATGGGCGACTGGTGCTATCTGAGTCAGGGGGACACATGCCCCCAGTGACCAGTCAGTGACCGGGGGGCCCACAGCCAATCTTGCCAACTGAGGGGGGGGGCGCTGATCACACTCACCTGAAAGTGGCCATGGACCTCCCAGAAGCAGCCGCAGCCACTTCATCCACAGCTCCATTCCAGCCAGCACTCACAGGAGGGGCACCAGTGCTCCTGCCTGCCCCCCACCCACCACCTAAGTGGGGTGCTTGGCCTGACAGGGGGTGCACCAGCACTCTCAGGGGGTGCACAGGCACCCCCTACACGTTGCCACTGCTCTTTACAACTCAGTGGGCTCATCTACATGAGACACTTACTGCGCTTTAGCCTAATAACATTGTGCAGTAGTATGTCATGGCAAAAACCATGCTAATAGTCTACTCTGCAGACTAATGCACGGTAAACATCACTAAGTAACCATGCACCAGTGCCACTGTGAAGTACCTCTAGGCACTATGCATTTCGTTAGTACTTTATTAAGGAAGTTCTAAACTAAATGTGCAGTATCTAAGGTACATTAATGAACATGTAGACATGCCCAGTAAAGAGCAAATTTAAAGTGCAAATCTTTATAGTACAAAGAATGATTCAGAGTCCAGATGCCAAGCATATGTCTGACTATGAGTTGCCATGAGTATGTCTCTGAACTTCCACCCCTCTCTGGAACTTAGACTATAGAGTTGTGTGGGATAAGGCATTATTCACACCTCCTGTTGAAACTGGGCCACCATACATACAAGAACTCAAAAGCCCTGAATCCAGAGAACATGATTCTACAGCCCAATGATGAGGCACTCCCCTGGGATAGGTTTGGGTTCTAGACCATGATCCCAGGATGCTTTATGCATTTTACATTGGGCAATCATTGGACAAAAACATAAATAACCCTGGGAGAAGGGACTAAAATCTGGCTATGCTTTTGAGTAAAGGTGATTATGGCTGCTGTGCTGTCTGCTACACCTAATGTTTATCCAGAACTGGTTCAGAGATAGGAGCCAAACTGAGCAGAGTTAGGTGCCAAACTGCTCAAACTGGAGAGCATCTGTACATGTGTTGAAGTCTATGTTTATATTAGGGAACTTTTTAGTTCAAAAAGTAGGTGCTGAATACATCTCTGTGTCAATGGTCTTGTGGCCAGTAGTGCAAGGTTATCTAGATTGCTTTTTGTGACTACATTTTGCCTCAAGCCTACTTAAGTACCAATCTGAGGTCACGTCTACAACTGCAATTAATATGAAGCGATAAACTCTGGAGTTCATTGTTCCTGGGCATGCCATTTGAACATGCAGGACAGGAGCACATTGAGCCAGGTGAGAGCAGCCCCAGCTGACAGGGTGTCCATGGGGTCAGCCTGCTAACCTGGGGCTGCTTCTACCCAGCTCAATGGGCTGTGGAGGGGCTGGCTGGGGCATGAGTGTGCTTCATTGCAGGGCTAACTGACAGGCAGCCCCTACACTGAAGTACCCTCTTGCCCTAGCCAGCTGCATCAGCATCTACAAGCACTACCCTACTGCAGTTTATTAGTTTACTCCAAACTAATAGGTGTGCATATGTAGGTACCAAGACTTTTACTGTGCAACTAGTCAGTCAACTCTGCAGTAAATGTCTTGTGTAGACATGCCTTTGTTCTGACCCGTGGAACATAAAATATGGGGAGCAGAAGTGCTGATGAACAACAGTTATAGCAAAAATGCTCACCTGGGATAATCATACCAGTACCTAATCCAGAGATACAGATCCTCTCTACTCTAAGAACCACATTAGCATTTTTGGTAAGAGTGTCACACTGGGAGCTCATGTTTAGCATGAACCCTATTGCAATCTATCAGTAACCTATCTCCTTCACCATATATCAGTCTCCCAATCTGTGGCATCTATAAATATTATCAGGAACATTACTTTTTCTTCCAAGACAGATAAAAATATTAAATAATGTATTTAAGAGACCAAGATATGGGTGGTCAAGACATGTCACCTAGGTGATGAGAACAGGGTCCAGAAGACAGGACTTGGGAAGCTGGACTCTGGGCCTAGAGTCAGGGTTGCAGAACTGAAGTCAAGAGCTGGTGCCAAGATTGTGGAGCTGGAGTCAAAAGCCAAAGTCAGGATTGTGGAACCAAGGTCAGTACTGGGGAACCAGAACCGGGGCAAGATTCAGGAACTAGAGGATCAAGGAACCAGAATCTGGAGCTGAGGTCAAGAACTAATCAGTTTTGAGCAAGGAGTTCCAGGCAGGTAAGAAGC